GAGGTGCAGGTGATCCGGAGTGTGGGGGAGCCCGGGGTGCTGGGGACCCGGAGTGCAAAGGATCCAGAGTGCAGAGTTGTCCAGTGTGCAGAGGATTCGGGGTGCAGGAGATGTAGAGTGCAGGGGATGCAGAATGCAAGAGATCCAGAGTGCAGGGGATCCGGAGTGCAGGGGATGCAGGGTGCTAGGGAGCCCGAGGTGCAGGGGATCCGGGGTGCAGGGGATCCAGACTGCAGAGGAGCCCGAGGTGCTGGGGATCTGAGGTACAGAGCGAGGAGATCTGGGGTGCAGGGTATCTGGGGTGCAGGGGATCTGGAGTGCAGGGGATCCAGACTGCAGAGGAGCCCGAGGTGCTGGGGATCTGAGGTACAGAGCGAGAGGATCTGGGGTGCAGGGTGAGCGGGTCCTGTGGGTGCTGTGTGTGGGGTGCAGGGGTGGCGAGTGAGAGGGTGCACAGCCCCCAGGGCTGCTGCTGCAGGAGCGGAGGAGCTCGGGTCCACAGCCCTGTCCTTGCTCCCGAGCCGGGAATAGCTCAGCCAGGCTGTCCCGTGCTTTCAGGCTTAGATAACCGTGCCCGCGATGTAAACAGCTTCCCTGGGACTGCCTGGCACAGCGTGCCTGGCCAGGGGAACCCCAGGGAGAAGCAGCTCCATCATCACTCTGTGGGTCATGCCTGGGGTGGTTGACTCTCAAAGGGATGGGCAAGACCAGGGGGAAGGGGAGCAAAGCCCAAGCACTGGCTCTGGGTCAAGGGACAAAGGGCAGCAGCACCGTGTGCTGTGAGGGAGGCCCTGTTTGTGGTCGCTCTCCCTGGACAGAGGTGCCCATTTTGCCCTCGCTGGGACAGGTTTGTCCTGACCTCCCCCAACCCCACTGCGATGAGCCGTCCCAGTTTTCAGAGGATGTTATTTTTGCCTTCCAGCCAGACTGTGGGTTCATATAAGCAAACATTTCCAAAAGTGGTGGCTGATCTTTGTTGCCTTGGTTCCTGACTGTCCAGCCTGTGATAGCTCTGTCCCTGACCAGAGAAAAATGTGTGTGTGGAGGATGGAGATGCTGAACTTCTCTGAAGCCAGACCTGAAACAGCCAAGAAATAGGAGTATCCAAAACTACTTGCCACAGTGGAAACTGTGACCTGTGAGCCTTGATGCTAGGCAAGGGGCTGGCTAGCGAGACCCACCACGTAAGGGATTATTGCTGGGAGGGGATAAAAGGGAGTCCAGCTACTTGAAATAATTACATTATAAAACTGGGACCCCTCCTGTCTGAACCATGGGAGGAGCCCTTGCTCCTTTGCTGCTGTGTCCCACCCCAGAAACTCCCTGGTTGGAGGCAGCGCGGATGCTGGGGAGCACACGTCCGATGGTGCTCCGTGCTTGGGGAAGCAGCCGGCTCCTGCTGCTGAACAGAAGCAGCTCTGTCTGCAGGGCCTTGGCTGTCTGCCGGGACACATCCTCGGGATGGGGTGGCTGGATGCACCCGAGACCTGCGGAGGGGCGTGGGGTAAAGGCATCCCCACGTATCAGCACGAGCTCTCTCCTCCCATGCTGTAGCTCATGGCAGCGCATTGATGGAGCATGAGGTCATGCAGAACAGGCTGGGCAGCGCAGGCAGCGACTTGAACCGATGCCCAAGTTTTTCTGCCTCCTGAGGCTGGGCTAAGGGAGCTACAACATCTTTTTCGGAAACCTTCACGTAACGCTGACCTGTCTGCCACCGGTGTGTACCCTACAGATGTGGAGTGTCAGGAAGAGTAGGATTAACTCAAAGGAGCCCTGCTATTAAAAGACTAATGAATAGGAGCTCTCTGAGTAGTAGCTTAGGCTAATGAGAGCCGTGCTGTTTGCTGTGGGTCCAGGCAGCAAGCCCACAGCTCATTACCATCCACCTTCTCCAAGGCATGCAGGTAGTGGGGGGTTATTCCTGGGTCTCCACCGGAGTTCAGCCCTTGCTCTGACTCCTGCAACGTAGGAGAGAAGAGCCTGGCATCAGGGAATGTGCTGTCCCAGTGCTTGGTGAGGACTTGTTGAGGCTTTCAGCCAGATCTGTGGGCATCTGGTCTAGGTTTATGGAGAGTGTAGCTGTCTTGCAGCTCTTGGGGCAGAATAAATTGTGGGTGGGAGGAATTTCAGCCCTGCTGTTACAATATGATTCAGCACTGCAATGGGAAGCAGAAGGTTGATGGGTGCGGTGGGTTGACCTTAGCTGGCTGCCAGGTGCCCACCCAGACACTCTCTCACTCCCCCTCCTCAGCAGGACAGGGAGGAGAAAAGAAGATGAAAATGCTCCAGCATGGGTCCTTCCCAAGGGCTGCGGTTCTTCATGAGCTGCTCCAGTGTAGCTCCTTTCCATGGGGTTCAGTCCATCAGAAACAGACTGCTCCGGTGTGGAGACCTCCATGGGCTGCAGTGTGAATATCTGCTGCAGCGTGGTCCTCCATGGGCTGCAGGGAGACAACCTGCTTCACCATGGTCGTCTCCATGGGCTGCAGGGGAATCCCTGCTCCTGGCACCTGGAGCATCTATCTCCACCCCCTCCTTATTCTCTGCCCAGGGTGTCTGCAGGGCTGTTTCTCTCACATTTTTCTCACTCCTCTCCCACAGTGTGTTTTACCTTATCTTACATATATTATCGCAGAGGCAACACCAGTGTCGATGATGGGCTCAGCTTTGGGCAGCAGTGAATTTGTTTTGAAATTGGCTGGGACTGGTTGTCTCCAACATGGAGCAGCTCTTGGTGTCTTCTTGCAGAAGCCACCCTTGCAGCCTCCTGCCACCACCACCTCGCCATGTAAACCCAATACCGTGGGAGATGCTGGAGGTAGATGAACATCAGTTCATCAGTTCCCCATGAGACCTGCCAGTGGGCTGGGGCTGCCTGGTGGGAGCTGCTTGGAGAGTGCTTGGAGTGAATGGAGTTCCAGCAGGAACTTGGATGGATCCTGTGCTCCTTCCTCGTGTGTCTCCAGCATCTGGGAGCTGAGGCATCCAGCCTCCCCTTACAATGATTTTTTTTCCTTTTTAATCTTACAAGTACTAACTTTCATTAGCAAAACCCGGCCATGGGACCAGCCCCGTTCCCTTGAATAATCCTGTCCTGCTCATGCCCGAGTGAGACCCAACCTGGCCACCCGCGCTTCCCAGCTCAGCAGCAGAAACACTTGATGCACCAAAGGCCTGATTTTCCCCTGGCTTCAGTTTAATGCCAGGCTCTGTTAAACCCCCTTTTTAATGTGCCAGGCCAGGGCAGGTCCTGGCCACTCTCTCATGCTCCTGGTCTCAACCATCGCTCTTGAATGCCGATGGTCCTGTGCAGGATCTTGCAGCTGGTCCTGCTGGGTGCTCCCTTCTCCATGGCATCTGCAGGGAAGCAGTGCCTGCTGTCGAACTGGGATGCTTCCCTGTGCACCTGAGGGGCTGTGGCAGATGTCCACAATAAGGATGGCTTGTAGTGACATGTGACTTGGCTTCCAGGTGACTTCTGTGATGTAAACCACTGTCAGAACGGGGGCACCTGCCTGACCGGGATTAATGAGACCCCTTTCTTCTGCATCTGCCCTGAGGGCTATGTTGGGATTGACTGCAATGAGACAGAGAAAGGTGAGGTGCTGACTCCATCATGGGGGCCCCATGACATCCCCACACTTTGCAGTGTGCCCTCATTGTGGCCCTGCACCACTGGCCCTGGGGTCCAACCCTGCTGATAGGCATATAGAGCAGAAATCCAGGCAGGGATGTGGTGACCTCCATCACTCGGGGGGTAATGTGATGTCTTTGGGGAGCAACAGTGCTCTTATCCTCCACCTGTGCCCATATTAAAGCCATTTTCACTGCTTTCCCCTTCCCCAGGCCCCTGCCATCCCAATCCTTGCCACAACAATGGCGAGTGCCAGCTAGTCCCAAACCGGGGGGACGTCTTCACCGACTACATCTGCAAGTGCCCCGCGGGGTATGATGGGGTGCACTGCCAGAACAGTGAGTACAGTGGGGTGAGGGGGGCTGGGGGAGTTGCTCTGCTGCTAAGGGCTTGGGGACCCCCTGGGCAGCACCGAGGGGACAACCGGGAGGTGTTGGCAGCTGTGGCTGTGTTGGGTGCTAGGCTCTGTTGGGGACCATGGGGCTCGAATTGATGGTGCAGGGTGGAGGGAAGGACCATGGTGTGGGGACACGGCTGTGTCTGAGCCTTGTTCTGCATCTCTGGAGGGACACAGTGTCTCGAGTAATGGGACAAGGGGTGCTTTGAGGCTGATTTGGATGTTGCAGGGTGGAGGGAAGGACCATGGCGCAGGGACACAGCTGTGTCTGAGTCTTGTTCTGCATCTCTGGAGGAACACGGTGTCTCGAGTAATGGGACAAGGGGTGCTTTGAGGCTCAGCCTGCTCCATGTTGTCTCCCAGCCTTGCCATGGCTGTGTGTCCTGCTGCACCCATGTGGCTGCAGTCAGTGAGGACACAGCTTAGGCAACTGCTTGGGTTAGAGCTTCAACCCATGCCACTGTATCAGCAGGGAGCCTGCCATGACCCTTGCTCAGGGGGATACCTTTCCCTGTTCCCGTTGCACTGAATGAGGGGTCTCCACCCTGGGACTGGCTCTGGGGTCATCTCCTGAGCCCCTCCACTCTGTCTCCTAGACAAGAACGAGTGCTACTCCCAGCCTTGCAAAAACGGAGGCACCTGCCTGGACCTGGATGGTGACTATGCTTGCAAGTGTCCTTCTCCATTCTTGGGGAAGACCTGCCATGTCCGTAAGTCCCTGGCACCAACTGTACAGAGTTCCCTTTCCCTCCCTGTTCCCCGCTGTGCTGTCCCCCATTGCCAATGTGCCCAGGAGACATCTCGCCAGCTGGTTTAGGGGTGCCCATGTGCCATCTGCCCTTGATGCCAGCAGGCCTGGTCTTGATGGAGGGAGCATCCCTGAGAAGGTGCTGTCTCTTCTCTGGGGGGGTCCAGAGCAGCACTTTACCCCCCACCCAGACCTCTGTGCTGTGTGGGGGGCTGATGAATGGTGCGGTTTTGGCTGAAGGCTGAGGAGAGGGTTGACACCTTGGGGACAACCAGGTCCTAGGGCTTGCCTCCCATCTCCTGCTCTGTCCCCAGAGAAGAGGAAAATGACACCCTGGTTTGGCTCCCTGGTCACTGTCTCTCTTTGGTGCTGATGTCCCCACTTGCCCCCAGGCTGTGCCGTTCTCCTGGGCATGGAAGGAGGAGCCATCTCTGATGCCCAGCTCTCGGCTTCTTCTGTCTACTACGGCTTCCTCGGCCTCCAGCGCTGGGGACCAGAGCTCGCCCGCCTCAACAACCACGGCATTGTCAACGCCTGGACCTCCAGCAACTATGACAAGAGTCCCTGGATCCAGGTACCCAGGGCAGGACTGGGAGTACTAGTGTAGCAGGCAGCTCTGGTAGCCACGGCTGGTCTTGCAGGGCTGTTCTCATGGGATTTCTCTGCTCCTGGTGGCAAATGCAGGGCTAGATTGCTGCAGCAAGGTGCCACCTAGGGGCATCTTGAGATGTGCCTGGAGAAGGCAAGGTGCCTGGGGAGGAGGTGGGGACCTGGGGTGGCGATCATCCCTTCTCTGCCCACTCTGGGATGGAAGGCTGGAGGAGTGGAGGTTTTTTCACCCCAAGGAAGTCACAGCGCCCCGGGCAGCCCCTCTTAGCTCCCGATGCTGAGCACTGCTGGTGGGGCTGTGCACCCCATCCATGCTGAACCCCACGCATGCACTTCTCCTGTGTGAGCCAACGTGGGCAGGATGCAGGAACAACCACGGATGAAATGCAAAGAGAAATGCACAAATTTATTTCTGTTACCTTGCCAGCTGAGGGATCCCCAAAGCAGCACCTGGGCAGAGGCACACAAGTGGGAATGGAGTCACCATGGAGCTTGGTCCTTGCTAGGGGATCACCAAACCTGCTGTTTTCACCTGTATTTCAAGGATTCACACAGGTGTAGTTTACCACCGTGCTTTGATCTCTCCCACAACGGGGAAGGAATCTCCAGCGTGTTCAATAGGATCCCTCTGAGTCTATCACAGGCTGATGTTACCTAAACACAGATGTTCTACTTGTCCAACACACAAAGCTAAACAACAATTAATATGATAGATGTGTTTTTTCTACACCTTGAGCATGTTTACGATCCTCCTCACGAATTTTCCGTTGTTTTCCCCCGTCTCCCCTCCCCAGGCCAACCTGCTGCGGAAGATGCGGCTGAGCGGGATCATCACGCAAGGCGCTCGCCGCGTGGGCCAGCCAGAGTACGTCCGCGCCTACAAAGTCGCCTACAGCCTGGACGGGCGGTCGTTCACCTTCTGCAAGGATGAGAAGCAGGACACGGACAAGGTGGGCTGCGATGCTCTGCATGGGGGCTGGCTGTGCTGGCTCCCCCCCACCCAGCGGTGCTGTGGGTGCTGGGGTGGCTGTGAGCTGCATCCCAAATTATCCCCATGTTTGGGAAGGTACTTTTGACCCAGGTCAGAGCCATGTTGGGAACCATCCTAGCAGTGAGACAGCACAGGCGGTTCCAGCGATGGGCAGTGCTCTCTGGTTCTGTTTAATTGACCATAATAAGCATAACCAAAGAAGCAGCACTGACTTATTTAGGTCATTCAGATATTATATTTATCGCTGACACACTGTGGGAACTGAGCATGGTCTGGAAGAGCTCGTGAACGGCTTATGCAGCTTGGTGCTGTGTTGGCGCTGAGCTTTAGCCGACAGCAGAAATACTCATTGATCTCAGCACTCCACGCTCAGTTTTTTGTGGCAAGTGGTGTTTTTTTCAGCATCCAAGGAATGGCTGGGAGTATCTGCCTTGCTTTAAAAATAGAAAAGTTTCTCTTGTTTCTGCAGCAGTGGAAAAAATGCATGAAAACACGACCTGGCTCTGTTTATTGTGTTAAAAAGAAAGAAGCAAGCCACCTCGCTGCTTGTTGTGATTTGAGGAGTGTCGCTGTAGCAGGAGGGAGCAGGTTTTGCTGCATGTGTGGCTCTGTGGGGTGAGGACAGAGCAGGGAGTAGTGTTGCAAAGCTCTGTGAGAGCATTGGAGCTGCTGCAAGGTCACGCAGTGCTCCAGGGCATGAAGCAAAGCCCAGCTTCCCCCCTTCTTCTTGTCCGTTTACTGGGCAAGGGATTTCATGCAGGAGGTTTGAGAGAGCTGGAGTGCTCAGCCCTGCTCACTGTTGCAGGTTTTCCAAGGGAACATGGACTATGGCACCATGCAGACCAACATGTTCAACCCTCCCATCACTGCCCAGTACATCCGCATCTACCCCGTGATGTGCCGCCGCGCCTGCACGCTGCGCTTTGAACTCATCGGCTGCGAGATGAACGGTAAATGTCGGTGGCTCTGCCCTCCCAGGGGCCGCAGGGCAGGGGGGTGACACGGGGCAGGGATCACCCCTTGTACTGGTTGTGATCCCCTGGAGTGGGGGATTTGTCAGTGTTTGTTTATAATCAAGCTGACTACGTGATGTCTGGAAATACCCCTGGGTGCTTTTGGGGAGCACAAGCTGTTAATCCCACCAGCTCAGCTGGGCTCGACCTGTGCTCTCATGCTGCTAACACCTTCCCAAGCTGGGGTGTTTTATTGTGCCCCCTCCCCATCTGAGCTGTGAACCGGCTGTTTTTTCTGGCGGAGAGCTTGAAAAGCACCAGAGGATCAAAGTCCTCTGGGAAATGGCCCTGCGGCACATCCCTGCAGCAGAGCGGGACTCATGTGCTGGGGTGGGAGCGGGGTGCTGAGGGGGCTTGGGTCACATCTTGCAGCTACATGTATATGGTGCCAGCCGTGCTTTTGGCTGGGGATATCTTCACATTGCCCCGCTGAAACTGTCCTCCTGGGCCCGGCTGTGCCGTGGGGACATCTGTGTGTCCCTGCAGCAGGAGGCACTGTGAACCAGGGAATAGCTGGGAGTGAAAAATCCTGGGAAGAGGCGAGCTGGCTGTGACCCTGTGCCTGTGCCAAGCCTTTCCCTGCCTGGCCCTGCCTGCTGCTCCGGGCAGTGGG